CATTCAGTGTCCGGAGATTTTCAATACAATTATTTCAAAATATGTACACATTGATCGAAATGAACATTGTTAACCATTTCTTTTTGAACAATGAGACAATTTTGAGACACATACAATTGTATATGTAGATTTAGAAAGCAATTTGTTAGAACTGGCCGATTTTGATTCAGCTTACGAGAAAGAATGACCCAAAATTCGAAATAAATTATACCTACCTTATAAGTGTTTGGGATATAAATTATACCTTCTCCTATACACTATCTACCAATAAGTATTTGGACACATGTACTACAGAAGAGATATAAACTTAATACGTATTCAGTACTTGGAACAGACTTCAAGAGGCAATTATCCTCCTTAGCATGATTTGGCATGATTTTCACAAGTCCTTGTATGGCTGCTAGAATTTTCTTCCACTTGGAGACGACACGTAAGTTCTTTCACTTATTTTGAACGATTGTTGTACTCCTTGAATCAGCGATCCAATTCAACCTAGAGGTTCTTGATGGGGTTTAAGTCTGGGTTCACATGGGTTCACTTCGTAAAAGTGCTGTAATGTAGAAAGTACATTGTTATCTAATATTGTGCTGTAGGAGTTCATACCAGGAGAAACACCTCCATAAGCCCACCTGGGCCAAATTTTACTGTTGGCACAATGCTTTCCTGTGGGAAGCATTCTCCAGGTTGACGTCATTCAAAGGGTAGAGGGTGAAAGGCGAAAGATTTATTCGCATTGTCGGGTTCCAGGTCACAGATACATTAAGGGCAATGAAAAGGGGGCAAGCTGGCGAAAGAGGAACCGAAAACGCCCTTTATTGGACATAACCCGGTTGTGGACTACAAAAAAGGTACTTAAAACAGGTAAAATCAATAATTGGGAGGCTTGAAAGGTCTTACGCTGCAAGGAACTTCCAGGTCACAGACAAGCGGAGAGTATGATAACTCCGTCGCAAAACAAAACCAAAGACGTTTTGTACCTCAGCAAAGGACCGCCCATGCGCCCCTAAAATACCATCTTTTCCACATTGGACAAGCTGAGGATCAAACTTGTTGACTTTGTAACAACGAGTCAGAGACTACTGAACATATACTGTGTGAATGCGTCGCCAAAAGCTGCCTAAGACACAAAATTTTCGGTAAAGTACGCCTGACACCTACCGACATAAAGGGACAACACCTTGGAGCAATACTAAGGTTCATCAAAGACCTACATTTGTCCTAAACTTTTGGAGGGTTTAAGTTACAATATATCTTATAGGTCGCGGTGACGAGAAGGGCCGCTCTTCTCAGCCTGGCAGCAATAATAATAATAGGGTAGAGGGCGAATCTTCACTCATCACTCTAGAGAACCTATTTCCATTAATCTACAGACCACTGTTGACGTATTTTGTGTGGCTCGGTTAGATTTAGTGATCAAAGGCAATATTAATAAGCGACAGCACCACCATTAAAACCAAGCAGATTTGGACTTCGAAATAATATACAACTCTAACGCATCTCTGCAAACATTTCTCTGCAACATCTCCGACGCATCACGAGCTTCACAAGCTTTCGAATTACTCTGGATAGTACTATCCAGAGTAATTCGGTCGGTCGGTCGGTCGGTCGGTCTCTATCTCCTTATGAATATCCATGCGAAACCTAATTGTATTATTTGTATGATACAATGCAATGATCATATAATAATATATAATGTGGATTTTTGTACAAGAAAATTTTGTGATGGTGTCACAAACAATTAAGAGTCATCCGTCGCGTCGAATTTAACCATCCGCCCCATGGCTGATTGTGCGATGATCATTACCTTCTACGACGAATACCATAAAAATCGCTTACAAATGCTTTAGAGCCCGTATCACAATTAGACGGCACCAAAATATCACAAAGCTGCACTTTCGGTTTCCTAATGAGTATGTGATGTATAATATACTGCAATTAATACCATACCAATAGTAAATTGGACAGCGTATAATGAAGCTGTGTCATACTTGATGAAATACTGCCTGAATTTCGAGGCAGATGTTCATTTATACAATATATCCCACCTAAACTCACCAAATACGGTATAAAAATATTGTATTTCAGTGCTGTCAAATTTTATTCTTTTGCCAATTTGGAAATCTACTGTAATTAACAACCGGAAGGTCCTTTCAGTCAATACAGCTCAACAGATTCCTTAGAGATACAGTTTTCCACATCGATTCTTGAACTTGGTCGAAAAATTGCTGCATAATTGGTTTACTAATTTCAAATTGCTAAAACAACTGAAAAAAAAACAATTATCGAGAACTCCAAAGAAAAATGTTAAAAAAATGGATTAAGAATTCAAAATTAAATAGGTTAGGTATAAACAACGCTTAACAAGGTCGTACACAACCGGCAATAATGTTTGATTTCTATTCCCTTCAATTCTGCTGTGTATTGTTATGATTTTACAAGTAGTAGTTCTTCTTCTTCTTTTAGCGCTATAGCCCGGATGGGCTTTGGCTTCTACCACTATCCTCTTCCAGTCCTTGCTCTTCAGAATTTTTGCATCGTCCTCCATCCTACCTTTCCATCTCGTTCGTGATCTGCCTCTAGAAGAGGTGGTATTTTAGGGGCGCATGGCCGGTCAGGTAACCTGAGAGCATCCTTAGATTCCCTTTGCTGAGGCATAAAACCTCTTTGGTTTTGTTTTGCGACGGAGTTATCATACTTTTCGCTTGTCTGTGACCTGGAAGTTCTTTCCAACATAAGGCTACGTTTGAGACCTCCCAACTGTTGATTATTTATTTTGGGTGGCTTTTTTGTAGTCCACAACCAGGTTGGGGTCCAATGAAGGGCGTGTTCGCTGCCTCTTTCGCCAGCTTGTCCGCCTTCTGATTGCCCTCAATGTTGCTGTGACGTGGAACCCAAGAGTAACATCATTACACCTAGCGAGTTCTCTCAGGTTGCTGGTACACTATCTGATCAGTGCGGAGTCACACGTGTAGGCGCCTGAATTGCCTTGAAGGCGGCCCGACTGCCTGTGATAATGTTTATGGATGCACCTTTCTGTCCCTTCTGTAGGTTTAAAGCTGTGCAGAAGTTTATAGCAAGAACTTCTGCTTGGAAAATTGTTACGTCCGAGCTGAGACGCAGGTTAATGTGGCTATTTGGTCCACTGATGCCCATACCTACTCCGGATCTAACTGTCTTTGAAGCATCGGTGTACCAGGCTAGGGCTCCCCATTTTAGTTGAGGCCCACCCTTCGCTCAATCATCCCTGCTTCTAAATATGACCTTATACGGCTGGTTGAAATTGTATTCTGTCGGTATAAGGTCCGTTTTCATTTCAATCAGGTGATTTAGACATGGGTCCTTGAGGATTTCGAGCTCTCCTCTGAGGTTACCCAGCATCAACTTGAGTGAAGAAACTGTTTTCAGTGATAAGGCACTTGAAGCTGCCTCCTTTTTTATATATAAATGGAGTGGTGTGAGACTCATTGCACCCGTTATATTAAGACATGGTAACCACTGGATTTGCGCCAGCTGTTGTTGTGCTGTCTTATGTTTTGTTTTTGGCTACCAAACCAATGAGGCGTAGGCGACCATGGGTCTGATTATTGCTACGTAGGCCCAATAAGCCATTCGTGGTTTGAGACGCCAGTTCCTTCCTAGAAGCCTGCGGCAGATCTGGTTTGCCGTGATGGTTTTTTCCTCGCCTTGTCTAAGTATGAGTTCCAGTTTAGTTTACTGTCTAGTATTACCCCTTTAATTTAACTTATGTTTTGATGTTAATAGTTCTGCTTTTAATGGAGGGTGCTTTTATTTGTAGCTTCCTCCTCCGAGTGAAAGGGGCGATTTCGATTTTATTTGGATTAATGCTGAGCCCATTGCTTCTACACCAAGTACTGGTACTAGGGCTTTCTGCATTAGTTGAGTTATGATTGTACCATATTTGCCTCGGATTGTGATTACCAGGTTATCACCATACCCCTGAATCTTGAATTGAGTCAACGACTCGCATCGCAGACTGGCTGTGATCTGCCGACTTTTCAACGTGGCTATACACCATTTGATTGTCGACAGATGTATATCTTTTACGTTTAGAGCCTTCTCTATGGATTCATAGGAGGTGTTATCAAAAGCACCCTCTATGTCTATGAAAGCACATAGGGCTATCTCTTTGGTTGTAATTGCCTCCTCTAAAGTGCTAGCTAGTCAAAGCATGGAAAGCAGTAATTGTTGATTTTGTTTTCTGGAAAGCATGTTGGCTAGGGTGGAGTGGATTAGTGACAAGCACTCCACTCCTAAGGTATTGATCGATTACCTTTTCCATCCCTTTGAGGAGAAATGAAGATAGGCTAATTGGTCTGCATGCTTTGGGGTCGGCGTTTGAACGCCTACCACCTTTAGGTATGAAGACCATCTTTACTTTCCGCCATAGTATATATATAGTAGCTATATATTAATCTAAGAGATTGCCATTTCCCTTAGATTAAACTCAAGTCCTTTGTGTACTGTCAAAGGTCTTCCTAATGTCTATAAATATACATACAGTGTAGGTTAGTATTATAGTGACCCTCACTGTTTCTCCATTACGTGACTAAAAAGGAAACTTTGGTCCATCAATAAAGCCACACTAATATTCACCCAGTATGTTCTCGACATGTGGCGTTCAAGAGAGTGATTTCTCTAAAGTTTTTGCAGCTGGTCTTGTCCTTCTTCTTATGTATCAGGCAGATGAATGCCGTTTTTCATCTTCATTGTTATCTCGTCAAAAGTAGTAATTATTAAATTATATTTATTATTGCATATTTATAGTAGGTATTACTTGAAATAAAAAAAATCTTTAAAGATTGTAATTATGCACATTAAATATTTTGTTTACTTTTGAAATCTGAAAAAGTGACCCTTACTCAGTTTGTGTGAATAATCCTGACTCAACTGATTTAGTGCGGAGATAAAAGTATTAAAAAGTGCCATTTTGTTATTCTAAATCATTAGGGGTTTTCTTATCTCTCACCGTTTCGAATATTGTATATCTGATAAAATGGTAAAATGATAAAATGAGTATTGTGATATCGGTAGGCATGCCAAAAATTATTTAACGGATCGATTTTAGCGTCAGTGTTGTGTCGGTATTCTTACGAGTGAGATTGTTAATTATTAAATTTTCGTTAGATTGGGTGTAATGATTTTGTAGTTGTGTTTATTAAACATTATTAAATGTAAGTACCTATTTCATCAAAACAATATTAATAACTTTAAATTAAATGGCGTTTTTTGGTATAATATAAAGTTTATATTTATATAAAGTATAAATCTCGTAATTTGTAATACATTTATGGAATTTAATTATAAATTTGATTTAAATGTAAACTATCTTATCATTTAAATCGATGTTATTAACTTGTATCAACTGTATTTTAAAAATAATCATCGATCATATTTAACTTTTCTCAACTCATCATATATTTTATTGATTTCATCAAGTTCCGAAATTCATTTTCATAAAGCTTTCGCTTTATATGACCTCGACAAGAGAGGACACTTATACCTAAAAGTGAAATGACGTCAACTACAGACAATAGATAATAATAGATAAGATATGTCACACAAAAAAAATAATATTTCTAGATAACTCAAATGAGCAAAAATTAATAAATTATTTGTATGTAAAATAATTGGTAACATGTGCGTTTATTCCAAGTGTTGGTAATATAATGAAGAATACAATAATGATATAAAAAATTATGTTGGTTTAAGATTCTGTAATTTTCCTTTCTTTAATTCATTTTTATTGTATTGTTTAGAAAAATGGGTAGAAATTTTCAAAAATTTCTTCTTCTTTCTTGGAAGAATTGGCTGTTACAATGGAGACATCCAATACAAACGCTAATCGAAATTCTAGCGCCCGTTTTATTTGCTGCTCTCTTAGTTCTTATACGAAGCTTGGTCGATCCAGAAGAAGAACAGTCGGTGACATATGACGAATTCTCACCGGTTATTAATCCCACAATCAATATACCTGACAACTTTTTACAAAATTTTACTTTCAATAGCATAGAGCCGTAAGTTTGATTACTACATTCCTTTTAAAGAAATAATGTTACTTTATTTTTCTTGAAGGGTAAAACTTTATTGGTCACCATGTGGAAATAGAGAGTTAAAAACAATTATGTCTATTATCGGTTTCAAATTCCTACCATTGCTCTCTCAGGCTTGCGTTAACAACTCCATAGAATTACAACGAACATTAGAACTTCATAGAGATAATATGTTTGCGGGTATTCAATTTGATGATGCATTAGCTGACGCTGATCTGATTTCTGACGACATGGAAGTTGTTTTAAGGTGATAAATTATAAACGTAACATTAAAACAAACTAAATATATTTTTGTAGATTTCCAGGAGAGTTACGAACCAACGGAAGTGCAACTGCTGTGGTAAATAATTGGTTTACTCATTTAACATTTCCTATATATCAAATGCCTGGACCCAGAAACGATGATAACAACTACGGGGCAATACCAAGTAAGAAAAGCTTTAAAAAGTTAAATTTAAAGATTTATTTTGTTTTATTATTTTACTTAGATTACTACTTCGAAGGCTTTCTAACATTACAACATGAGATTTCCGTGGAAATTATTAATGCACACGTGCGACGAAAAACAAACGTGGAAGCAGATTTTCCCCCCATTTTGATGCAGAGATATCCGTATCCAGCTTGGATTAGTGACTTTTTATTAGAAGCCTTGAAAAGTTTTGTAGGAATTATTATAATGTTGAGTTTTGTTTACACTTGCATCAATACGGTGAGGGTAATTACGAACGAAAAAGAAACGCAGATGAAGGAAGCAATGAAAATCATGGGTTTGCCAAATTGGTTGCATTGGATGGCATGGTTCTTGAAAATATTCGTCTTTCTTTTAATCTCTATTATTTTGATGGTGGTGCTGTTGAAGGTTTCTTGGTATCCAGATACGCATTTTAGTGTGTTTACTTATAGCGATGGAACTGTACTATTTGTGTTTATGTTGTTTTATATTCTTTCGACTATTACATTCTGTTTCCTTATAAGTGTTTTCTTTACAAAAGGTTAGGAATCGTAAAAAATTTTGGTTTCTTTTTTTTATTATTATATTCAATTTTTAGCTAATACCGCTGCTACAATTGCTGGATTGGCATGGTTCTTATCTTATTGTCCATATTTGTTTTTACAAGAACATTACAATACCTTATCGTTATCAGCGAAACTTGCAGCTATGTTGGGTGCTAACACTGCAATGGCTTATGGTTTTCAATTATTTGTTATGTTTGAAGGAACTGGAGATGGTAAAACATTTTTTGTATTTCCTTTTTTTTTTAAATAAGTTTAATAACTTTTTAGGTTTACAATGGGACACCTTCTTTAGTTCTGTTAACCCAGATGATAGCCTAACGTTAGGACATGTCGTTATGATGCTGATAATCGATACAATAATTTACTTGTTAATTGCTTTATATGTTGAATCGGTGTTTCCTGGGGAATTTGGAGTAGCACAACCTTGGTATTATCCATTTACAGCTTCTTATTGGTGTGGACAAAGATATGTTGGTAAGAAACTCTATCTATTTATACTAATACTGTCCATATTAAACAGTTAATTAGAGATTATTCTTTGGATTTTTCTGCAAAATCAAAAACAAAATCTTATATGGCAGTATAGAAAATGGAGGACTTCCATGATGTATTGCATCATAGTTTATGATAGGCATTTAGCATCATTTTTTCATGGAAATTTGCTTGCTGCCGAGGGCATTTTTTGTCTCTCATCCCTGTCTCTCTATTCTTTAAAGAAATTCCTTCTTTGATTTTAGACTCACTGAACATAGAAAATATATTTTCATCAAAATTCCGCTATTCTTCCTCAACTCACCATTTAGATCATTGAATCGCTCACATTCTCCCATATCTTTTTAACAGTGGTGCATCCCAAAACATGATGTTTTACTATTTATACATAACTGGAATCTTCAATTTCATGTCTTGTAACCTCCTAACAAGGTTGATTGAGTTAGATTCCAAGATGAAAGCTTTATTGTGAACACCAATAAATAACTTTGACCTATATCTAACCACAAAACTTTTCCAAATGTTCATAATGTGGCATTACCACAAAATATTATTAACCATTGAAGTCGCCATTATTCTATAGCTCCTAATCAACTAACACACAACTTTAATATATTTCTTATATATCTACAATTTATATTTTTTTAATTTTAAAGGTGTTGAAGATGTTGGATCAGACCGAATAGCAGAAACAGATATTTATGAAAGTGAACCAGTTAATTTAAAAGCGGGTATTAAAATAAAACATTTAAGAAAGATGTATTCTAATAAGAAGGTGGCTGTTCGCGATTTATCTTTGAATATGTTTGAAAATCAAATTACGGTTTTGCTCGGTCACAATGGTGCTGGTAAAACAACAACGATGTCGATGTTGACGGGAATGATTGCTCCAACTGGTGGTACTGCTGTAATAAATGGTTATGATATAAGGACCGAAATGAATGGTATTCGTGATAGTTTGGGATTGTGCCCGCAGCATAATATTCTATTTGATGAATTAACGGTTAGAGAACATTTCTATTTCTTCAGTAAGTTGAAAGGAATGACGAATAAACAGGAAATCGAAGCTGAAATTAAAAAATATACTGATCTTTTGGAATTAACTCCGAAGGTAAATAATCTTAAAATAAATTAAAGCGGTTATTTTTCAATTCTTTTTACATAGGCTGATGCAATGTCAAAAACATTATCTGGCGGTATGAAGAGAAAACTATGTGTCGGAATCGCTTTATGCGGTAAATCAAAAGTATGTATGTTTGATGAACCAACAGCTGGTATGGATCCTGCTGCCAGAAGAGCTTTATGGGATTTGATGCAACAACAGAAAAAAGACAGAACGATTTTATTGAGTACACATTTTATGGATGAAGCCGATTTATTAGGTGATAGAATTGCAATTATGGCTGGTGGTCAACTACAATGTTGTGGAACAAGTTTCTTCCTCAAGAAAAAATATGGTGCAGGATATTCTTTGGTGATGGAAAAGAAATCTAAATGCAATGTAAGCGAGGTCACCAATGCACTTCGAAGACACATTCCAAATATTGAAGTACAAAATGACATTGGTTCGGAATTAACATATCTTTTAGCTAAAGAACAATCTTCGGTGTTTGAAGAGATGTTGCGTGATTTCGAAAATCAAGCGGATGAACTTGGAATTGCAACTTTTGGTATATCATTAACAACAATGGAAGAAGTGTTTATGAAGTATGTTTTTTGAAATAACAAAATTAAATATTAAAATAACATAAACAATTTATTCTTATAGAGTTGGTGCCGACCATGGACAAGAAGAAGAAAATGATATATTAGAAAATATTAACGGAAATGGTACTGTAATGCGCAATGGAGATAACGGTGTGAAACATTCTTCGGATACGAGATGTAAGCTTATTTTTATTAAGATTAATTGAAAGTGTAATACTGTTTTATTATAACTTTTAGTGAACGTAAATGATGAACACACAGTAAGCGGTCTTCAATTAAAAATAAATCAAACGATAGCCATGATGATGAAAAAAGTTTTATCTACGTTTAGATCTTGGGTATTACTTGTGATTCAAAATTTGATTCCGGTAGCATTCTTGATTATTGCTATTTTGGTAGCTAGAGTTATGACTAACGACACGGAACCCGCCAGATTAGACTTATCCCTAGATCCATTTCACAATCCAATTACACCAGTTGCTACTGAAGACGTAAATAACGTGTATTATAAAAGATATAAGAGAATTTTAGAAAATGATGACCGAGAAGTGTTAGATTGGCGTACAGAAAATTTCATTACGAATTTGTTAAAGTTGGTGCGTAATTTAATTAATCCTTTGTAAAAAGATATTAAGTGAAGTTTTTAGGGTGAAACTATTATTACAACCATAAGAATGCGTTATATCATAGGAGCCATTTTCTATAAAGATAGATTTGTTGCTATGTTTAATAATGAACCATATCATTCACCACCACTTGCATTGCAACACGTAATGAATGCAGTTTTACAAGAGCAAATGGATTCGGATAAGTACAACATAAGATTTACTAATCATCCTCTACCTTACAATGTCGAAACACAGGTAACATAATAATTTAACATACATTTCTCCTTTCATAATTCTCTTTCTCTATATTTATAGACTGATCGAATGTTTCAAGGAAATACAATGGGATTCCAATTAGCTTTTAATATTGGTTTCAGTATGGCTTTCGTATCATCGTTTTACGTTCTTTTTTACGTAAAGGAACGTGTTAACAAATCTAAACATCTTCAATTTGTCTCCGGGGCAAATGTGGGCGTTTACTGGGTAACAGCGTATGTTTGGGACTTTTTAACCTTTGTCTTTACTTCGCTATGTTTGGTAATAACATTGGCGTGTTTCCAAGAACCTGGATTTGCTACCTTTGAAGAATTGGGTAAGTGTGTTAATTCTTAGGGACTAGTTATGGATATGTTTTACCTTTAATCGAATAATGATATGAAAAAAGTACTGTTTTAAGCGTTATTTCAGCTAGTCAGAATCTTTTCTTGTCGTCTTTACAGTCTGGTTTTATTTTCACATAAGGTATTTTACTCTTAAGAATGGTTTATGTTATAAATTTAGTGTCACACGAAGTCGTCATGCATTCTTTTTATCGGAAAATGATGAGTTTGATCATCACCTTTTTCCATGATTTCAAAAGCTGGCAAACCGAAGCTATCGAACCTACTTAGTATAGCTAATTTATATCACCAATTTATCAAAAAGAAAATTGTCTGAAAATCTAAGCTTAAAAACCAGTATGTCAAGAACGATTTTGGAGTTATTTTAGAGTTGTAATAGCACCGCTTCCATTGTAAACCCAAATGTAAACAATAAAAGAAACCTTTTTTCACCAAAATCCATCTGATGCCGATCTGCGATTGCTTCTGATGAGTTCCGAACCAGTTGGAATAAATTTTTCCAATTTTTCTTGTTGCAATAACTACTTTTTAGAATCGCCTCACTTTGCTTATGTTAATGCCAACTTACGAGTCCTTTGGTAAGGCTTTACCTTAACATTTTATCTTGATTCTTTTACCTAGAGTGTTTTGTAGGAATTCACAAGGATTAAGGAACTTCGAAGGTATTTTATTTTCTTCACCTAATAATATCAGTTTGATCTGGTGAACCATATGTCTTCCATGTATATTTGTATGTCCACTATATTGATCACCACATCATTTGAAGCACACCGCTTGTAAAATTGCTTTTGTTTACATAATTTCTTATATGTTACAATATGTTTTTTAACATTTTGGGTTGTATATCCAATATGTGGAGCATATCAAGATAAAAAGAAACGTACCCACATGTGGCAAAGCTAATTGTATAGTATTTTTAGTACATGTAAGTCTGATTCTTATCATCTCCCTTTTTCATATAATATGAACACTTTTCTCTTTTAGTCCCATCCCTCTATTCCTTCGAAAATATGTTCCAAAACATCGCCTTCGCCGCATATCAGGGCTTTTCACACTTGAACAGAATCACACCCATGTTATCCACATTAACCTATCTTCATTATCCATCTTTGCCTAAAATCTTTAAATTAATAGCACATAAGTGTGCTCTGAAATCTTACTTTGATGTCAGAACCAACATTCATCGTTTTGGGCTTTCATTATATCTACCAACTGGTTATCAACTGGTTTGTAAAATGATCGTTTTTTCCATATTTACTTGATAGTCAGCTTTCTAAGCAAGGTATAAAATATTTTGACCACACAGCATAGATTTTCTAGCTCTCGTTCCATTATTTCATAATGTTTTCGCTAGCCTTATAACTTTTCCTGTTTTCGTAAGTCGATCTTTCCATTAACAACAGACCTGGAGACTAATGAGCGCTTATTACCTCTGTATGTACTATATTACTACTCCGTGGTCAGCCTAATGTGGCAATTTTATGTGATTTTCCTGGGCAACTCGGAAGCTTCAATGCTAGTACCTGATAGATATACTTTCACAATCACCAGGTCCATAACAATGATTTCATGATGGATGTGATTCTTTGCTTTTAGTCTTTCTACAATTTTCCCTACTGTAGAACGTGATCATGTAACGTTCTGTTTTCTTGATTACATCATGTTTACGTTCCTTTACTAGTACCTCCAAAAGTTTCCATGTGGATATCAATCGAACATATTGGAATAAACGTAGTTTCGATTTTTTTGACTTTTGAATAAGCTTCGTCAGTGTTACACCTCACAGGTTTGAATTGTTTCCTTCGAGGTTATCAATATATCGGTTATAATTCTATTAGGGTGGTGCTTTCATTTTATTAATTTTTTTAAATACCATATCTAAATTCCCCATTTTAAGTTCAAGGATGTCTAGTGGCATAGTTTTTCATGCTTTACAAATAACTTCCGTATCTGGCCCTAACCAGTACAATCACAGATGGAGATGCCACTCAGTCTTCCTTCAACCATCATCGTCCAGCTCATCGCAAAGTTATATCCATTTGCTGGCCATGTTTTGCAACGAGGATTTTTTGGCCCTATTTTCATAAAGTTTCTTATAACCTTAACAATTCATAATATACTTCGAACTTGTTTTTGAAGAATGTTGCAGCACAGCATGGGCGGATCCAAAAAAAAACGAAACAGCTTAACCCGAAAGTTTTAGTTCAATTAATACCTTTTGCCTATTACTAACGTTTTTGAAGATTTTGTTGAATCTAGTTGGAATGTTAGAATTAATACTTCTGCGGTAGGATTTTCGTGAGTGGAGTACCAGTTTCTGCATTTAGGGCGGTATGTTTGCATTGCATACTTTGTAGATCTCATTTTGGTTGCTATAAAAGTGAAATCCAACCCAACTTAAGTCATCTCGTTCAACGCAACTCATGCTCTTGCTTTATCAATCTGTTTAAATATGCTTGGTTTTCAAGTATATTTGCAAGAAAGTATATATGAGAGACAACATATAACCCAACCCAAAGATTTGTTAAGCTCCAACACAACATGCTCTGTATCTTTGTCAGAATCGGAATATATTGCGGACAAGTACCTTTTGGTGATATGATCAGGATAAGGACTATTTGGGATATTGTAAAAGTTAAAACTAAGCAGTAATCGCCTGTAATTATATGTGACAGAATACATCCAAAACTAGTACACAAAAAAAAACATTATTTTAAAAAATTATAAGTTTTACCTTTATTAAAACTTTTATATTATCATAATTTCAGGGAGAGTATTCTTGCTGTTAATATTGTTTGGTTTGGCGATGTTACCACAAACATATTTGCTGGCGTTAAGATTTGAGGTGCCATCAACTGGATATACTCGTTTAACACTGATTAATATTATTTTGGGTAAACATATATTGGTACAAACGTCTCCATTTAATTTTTAATTTGCTTTCTATTTTTGAATAGGTGTTGCTGCCTTTATGGTTGTACAAACATTGTCAGTACCAGGATTGAATTTAGAGCACGTTGCAGACGCATTACATTGGGTATTTCTTTTAGTGCCACATTACGCTGTGGCCAGTGGGGTTCAAGATATGTACACGAAATTTACCATCAATACTCTTTGTGATCGTTTGGAGGAAATTAGTAAAGGTTTTGCTTGCGAAACTACTGAGATGTGTTGTGGTTAGTTCTTTTGTCATATTACTTTTTTATATTTACGTGTAAATAACTAAATTGTAATTGTAATTAACTAAATTAATTTCATTTACGTGCAGATAACAATGAATTATATCTTGCGTGGGACCAAAATGGAATTGGAAGGAATATTACATTCTTGTTCATAACAGCTACAGTTTTAACCGTGCTATTATTGTTAATAGAATTCAGAGCATTTGAAAAAGTTACTTATGCCTTTAGAAAACAAGTAGCTCGCACTCCTCCATCCGATGACGTGGATGATACTGATGTATTAGAAGAAAAGAGAAGAGTACGGGATGGGGAGATTAATAAAAAAGATTACAGTGTTGTTTTAAAAGATGTTACAAAATACTACGATGATTTCTTAGCTGTTAATCAATCTTGCTTGGGTATTAAAGGAGGTGAATGTTTTGGATTACTCGGGGTTAACGGTGCTGGTAAAACAACCACGTTTAAAATGATGACGGGTGATATCCCATTATCCAGTGGTGATGCTTGGATTTATGGATTAAACGCTAAAACTGAAATGAAAAGTGTTCATAAACACATAGGGTATTGTCCCCAATTTGATGCTTTATTAGATGATTTAACTGGAAAAGAAACCCTAATTATGTACTGCTTGTTGAGAGGCATCACCCTTGAAGAAAGTAAATACATCGCGGTTAATTTGGCTAGAGAATTTGATTTTTATAGACACATTGACAAGCAAGTGCGTGAATACAGTGGTGGTAACAAAAGAAAATTAAGTGCAGCCGTTGCATCGATTGGAGATCCCCCGATTGTATTTTTGGACGAACCAACTACCGGTATGGATCCTGCAACAAAACGTAACTTATGGAACACTCTCTGTCGTATCCGAGAAAGCGGAAAATGTTTAGTGTTAACTTCTCATAGTATGGAAGAATGTGAAGCTTTATGTACAAGATTAGCCATCATGGTTAATGGAACATTCAAATGTCTTGGTACCACCCAGCATTTAAAGAATAAATTTTCGCAAGGTTATACTTTAACCGTAAAGGTTCAAAGAAGTAATGCGAGCGCAGATCTCGAAACTGCAGATACAGAGCCCATAGAAAGATTCGTGAAAAGTAATTTCCCATCAGCTATTTTAAGGGAAAGTCATCAAGAGTTAATGACTTTTTATATCCCTGACACGGAATGTTTGAGGTGGTCTAAAATGTTTGGAATTATGGAGCAAGGAAAACAATCATTGAATATTTCGGATTACTCTTTGGGTCAATCGAGTTTAGAACAAGTATGTTTTTTTATAACAAATAAAGTGTAGATTTATTAATTTTGTTTTATATTTTTTAGGTGTTCTTACATTTCACGAAATTCCAACGTGAAGAATAAAATTGTGATGCTTTAAATCAATTATAAATGTAAGTTTAAATGTTTAATTTATATTTTAAATTATATTAGATGGCAGAATTTGTACTTAAGTAAGACGATGTAAGATCATAAGTGCAAAGAGATGTACGTGGCTTTGTCACGGTGATATGTAAGCAAGAGATATGTTATTGTAAGTATTTCAAATATGTATCTTTATGGAGAACTAATTAGATTCATTATATTTCAAAATTAATAAAGAATCTTAAATATTATTGATCTAAAATTTCCTGTTATTTATTCCTCACAATTCCTTTAACATGCACATTATTGAAATAACGGAATTATTGATTACCGGGACGAAGAGTTCCCGCGCCAGGTAAAATTCGAAACTTTGCGACATGTTTGATCAAAGATCGCATGATTATGGTATTCGAGTTAATTTGTGAAAATAATCAATAGGGGGATGACACGCGACACAAGCAATAGTATCAAAGGGGCATCGGGAATGGCTACATTACAGGAAAAGCTTTACGTTCTGCTGGAAAAATTAAAAGTCCGATTTTTCAATTTATTATGCGCACTATAATTCGTTTGATATGGATCATTTTCTAGGAAACTGACCACAATTTGTCCGTGTGTGTGACTTTACTTCACCAATACCTTAGGAAAGAAGCAATTACGCATCAACAAGTAAGTTATTTTCTTCTACCGATTTTTGCAAAGTTACAAAAAAATCTTTAATATTTTACGTATATATTATTTTATTTTAAATCACGTTAAATCTACAAAATCACATAATCCCTGTTTTTAAATAGACTTAAAAAGATGATTATTGTAAAATGAGTTAAACTGATCGAAATGTTTCAAACCTCCAAAACTTCCAAAATGACCACCGAATCCAGTGTGTATCGGTATGTAATTCGTGAATAACCCTGCGTAATTTGTTGGATGATGATGATGATGAATTTCATGAACACCATGATGTAAACTATGGTGGTGTAGGTTGTGGTAACCATGGTGTAAGTGATGCAAACCGTGATGTAAATGATTTAATCCGTGATGCAAATTATGGTGGACTCCGTGATGATGAAGTCCATGATTCAAATCATGATGATGAAGCCCATAGTGATGAAGTCCATGATGCAAATCATGGTGATGATGCCCATAATGATGAAGTCCATGATGCAAATCATGGTGATGATGCCCATAATGATGAAGTCCATGATGTAAATCATGATGATGCAGACCATGGTGTAAATCATGATGATGATGACTATGGTGTAAATCATGATGATGAAGACCATGATGTAAATCATGATGATGAAGGCCATGATGTAAATCATGATGATGAAGTCCGTAGTGATGAAGTCCATGATGTAAATTATGATGATGAAGTCCATGGTGATGATCTAAACTATGATGTAAATCGTGATGACCACCATGGTGTAAATCATGATGAAGACTGTGATGTGATCCGTGATGTAGATCATGATGTAATGCATGATGTGAATCATGATGAGTACCGTGATGTAAGCTATGATGGTGACCATGATGATGTGAGTGGTGACCATGATGATGTGAGTGATGACCATGATGATGTTTTCCTATTCCAAAAGTGTTATAGATTAAATTGGATAGAATCCCCTCATGATGATCGTCTTCATGATGATCGTCGTGATGTATTAGTCTATCGAGGGTATATTTTAAGATATGGTAAGGAAAATTTTCTACGAAATTTGTATATGCTGGGGCGTATCCAAATAGTCCATGTCCTTTCTTTTTATGGCGGCCACCATTACATAAAGAAACGACAGCTACTATTAATATAACGCTCTGAAAAATAAAAGAAAAATGTGTACAAACACTTACTCAAGTCATAAAATCCTTAAAATAATCTCAAATAATTTTAACACCTTTACACACAAGGAAAATAATCATTCTTGTCACTATCACAAAACTACCACAAAAATAGAAAACTTACTGTAATTTTCATGTTTTTGTAGTGAATTCTTTTGCAGTTAAACCAACATTGAAATAATGTCACAAATCTTTTTACTATTTATACGGAATTCTGTTATAATTTGTACGTTATTGTCGCGTGCGCTCAAAATAACCCCTTGGTAATTATTCCGCATGGAAAATAGCAGGGTTTCACTTACCACGCCGGCTTTTTTACCTCCCGTAAATACAGACGTTACAAAATAGCGCACACTTCCATGTGTTCGGGAACGATTTCGTGCGTTGTTGTTGATTCTCTGTTAGGGCGTACACTTTTGTTGAACGCTTTACTGGACATTGTTTTATAATAAATAATTTCTCTTACGAAACAAATTCGTATATCGTTTGAATGAATTTAACGTAATAAATAAGTATAAATTAAGAAATTCTATTTTCCATTTTTATATTTTATATGATATAATTTAATAAGTCTGTCTCAATAAGTCATAACTCATAATTCATAATTAATAAAATTAATAAAAACATTAAACGAAAAGATAATAAATTTAGCAATTAGTTAACCTGAAAAGAAATTGAAAACAAACATTTTTGGGAGTTTCTTCAATCTTTTCCTTATTAGTCCCATATTTAAGTCGTTGCTTGTAGAATAACATACTCCTTTGATAAATAACTAGTAAGAAATGAATATAGATAGCAGATAAGAGAGCTCGAAAAAAGATGACTCCAGCTAAGGATAAAATTGTAATGTAAAAGCTTACTTGGACTTACGAACATTAATCTATAATCGTGCTGTATTGAAGATTTGGATCACTTATACGAGAATGTACTTGACAATAGATACCAGTCGAGGTCACTACCGGTTCAAACACTAGTCCTTCAACTAGTTCAAAAGCGTTCAGAGCTGATCAAGAGAAAATAGTGCTAGCATGACGTCGATTGACGACTGATTTGATTCCGAAACAAAGAAAACAATAAGTCCAAATAAGTACAAATTAAAAGTTTTAAAAATGCTTTAAGTTATCATTCCATTCCCCACCATTAAAACAATCTACCAGATTTATTGCAAATAATTAACAAAATACATGACAAAATCGCGAAAGAGATAATATCCGCTGATCAAAATTCGATACCTGCCTTAACGGCGTTGAAGCAATATTGCGAAGCCTAGGTACTTGACAGCTAAGTGATTTCTGAAATCCTAACTCAATCGATGAACATCATTCGGCTACACGATGCTGGTTTTTATGGGAAGACTAAGAACAGGATCAACAACAAGAAGTGCTCGATTAAAAATATTTTGTTATTTTTGTAAAAACATATTTGGCATATGAATACGAATATGTATTATGTATATATTTTTGTTATGTTTATATATATATTTTTTTAATAGAGCCCTTGATGGCACATCTTATGGAAAGCTTGTGTCACGTCACGGGAAAGTCAAGAACAACCTTTTCCCACTTTTAATTCACTATGCTTTTTCGATACTTGTTCTATGTACCGGATCCACACTTGACTATTTTCCTTTCATCAGAAACATTAACACATTGATCAACGTTTAAAGAATTAAGCAGGTCACATCAATTGACGCTCGCCAATACACCTCTAAGACCGTCATAATCCGCCAGTCAGTTCGAATCTGCGTAGGAAACAAATTCAAAAGCTGGGTGATACGTGTCCAAGTCGACTAGCGGTTCATCACTCAAGATTACAGAATGTATTACATCAAAATTCCATAAATTAAATCTAATGTTCTATCATTTATTTAAAATGTTGTTGGAATGATAATAGATATTAAGAAGGAAATTTTTTGCCCGAGCATCCAAGCCCAACAGGAATGAGTCCATACCCAGCAAACATAGACCAGGAAACGCTAGGGATATTAAAATCACCAACGGCCAGAAGGCAGATGTTAGGATACCAATCACGTCCATCCTGAAGTTGTCGAAGAAAAGCACTGAACGGTATAGGATCACATGGCGGCAGATAAACACTGTACAAAATCATCCGTGTATTACCGCAACACACAAACAACCACAAATTCTCAGCTTACATCGCAAGCGTAGTCAGTGATTCGCAATAACAAGACCTTCACAATGGGATTTTTCAGAATACGTCGAGCATTTGTCACGATGATAAATGTCGCACTCATTTCAAAGGATTTCCCCATCGTAAATCTAATCATTGAAATACGTTTCGGTAAGGCATACAAAATCGTGAGTAATGTTTAGTGAGTTCGTGTAGCTAGTTTCAGTTTTTGTGCGTAACCCGCGCATGTTTTGATAATAGATCGTGAAAGACGTTGCAGCAACCGAGAAAGTTGATTCGATCGTTATAAAAATAGATAACGCAGTGGCTACAAATACTTTCTCACGACACTTCTGTTTAGGTTTTCTAAAGAATTCTGCGTTGTAAGCTGTAAGATGCTCGTTTACGAACAATTTATCAGTTAGATTCCGGATGCAGATGCCTGTTGGACCGTACTGTTGTTGTTTCGGAAAACCTTTGCAGCTGACAAAAATTTTTCACGCAAAATTACGAAAGAAAAACTTAACCACAACGTTCTTAATCTTACTACCACTGATACCCAATTCTCTCTAGAAGCAATCCGATGAGAGAGTCGGTGGACAGTTCCGATATTACTCTCGGTTATCGGGCAACTTATAACAATCCTATCTAAAAAGATTTTAATAGAACTTTCAACATCAGAAATTTTATCACTATAAAAGGCAAGGAACTTTAACATTTTATCATACGTTAATATTTTTAATATCCTACTGGATTGATTTAAAAATACGTAGCGACTCCGGTATGGTAGACTCAGATGAAGACAAGGGTGGAGTAGGATCATCATCCACAATAATTGAGCAATTTGCACCATTTTTACAATAGGGTATTTCCAAAAAACGCAAATATAAACTAAATATCTTGTAATAATGACCAAGTACAGGTCTACGAACACATGAAAGAGCACCAATAAATACCAGGTACCGAATGTCACAATACACATTTAAAAATACCGAGTAAATTGACCGGGCAGAAACATGTTCATTCATGAAAATATTATTGTTTTTATAGACGTCGCGTCGTCTACTTAACGGTTTAGGCCTTGTTGACCTTTACCTATCCTTCAGACCACATCTTTTTCGGGCGTCCCACTGATTGTCTTCCTCTTGATTTATGCTGCAGTGCCATCAATTTTGGTATTCTGTCATCCTGCATTCTCTGCACGAGGTCCATCCATTTCTCTTTGCATTCTTTGATTTAATCGTTAACTGCGAAAATTTCCAGTTCCTCTCTAATATCTTCGTTTCTGATTTGATCCAATATGTTATAGGCAAAATTATTATATAAATCCATTTTCATCGATATTATTAAGGTAAATTGAATAAATATTACTTTCTATTTTACTGTTAATCGATGTATTAATTTAAATATTTCCTTTACATGTTTCGGCTTATTAGGCCATCATCAGAAGGTTTAACGTTAATATGGTTGGAGAGGAATTGGAACATTAATTTAACTTTATATTACTAATAACATCAAGGGAACGATGTTCACTTAATTGGGATGAGATTTGAGGTTATAGCCGTTGGTCGCTCTTAGAAACTTAATTTTCGCGGACTCTATCTTGCTTAGGTCCTTTTTTCTTGTCACCCATGCTTCGCAGCAGAACCATACAGTAGTGTCGGTATTGCCATTGTCTTATAATATTTCATTTGAGTATCATTCCTGCAATTATTACTCAAAGTTCGTCAATAGTTCCACACATTCTTGTGAAGATTGTCAATTTGTGATTGTATGTCCTAATCGTGTTCATTTCCTATGAATGCCATTGTTTTTGTTTTTGTCTTAGAGATTTCGAAGTTGTAATCTCTACTTATGCTGTTAACAAAGTATACAGCTTTTTCAAGGTTATCTTCTGACGTAGCAAAAATTATTTCAGGACGTTGTTATGGTGTTGGCGAATTCCATTTGGAACTTGATCCTTCCAATTTTTGATTAGATCATCTATATACAAATTGAATAAAAGCGGTGATAGACAACAGCCTTGTCTTACTCCTTGATTAATGTAGATCAAATTCAAGTCTTCGTCTAAAAGCTCTTTATTGCTCTGCTTAAGTGATCAGGACAGCCTCTTTATTTTCAGCATTGACCACAATTTGCTTCTTAATACCCTATCAAAGGCTTTAGTGTAATCAATGAGTGCGATGTGTGTTTCTATATTGTGCTCTTCGAAAGCCATTCTGTTCCTCCTCTAAGAATTTTTCAGCGATTACTTATGTTCTTCTTGTTACTATGCGGCCATATAGTTTGTAGTTTGAATTCAATATGCTAATTCCACGATAGTTGTTGACTTTCATTCTTGTTACTCTTTTTAAATAAAGAGACATCACCTTGGCTATCGTCCAGTCGTAGAAAACGTAACATCAAAACAATACCTCCGTATTTTATAAGCTCAATGTTAATATTATCGATTCCGACTGCTTTTCTGTTTTGAGCCCTTTCAGGGTATCCTCTAGGGTTGAGACATCGGTCTCTATAGTGCTGTTCCCATCGATCCTTATCTAATGTTATATTTATCCTTGATGTGTTTTTCACATGCTTATTCAGATGTCTGAGAATTTTGTATGCATATTCCTGCCTACCTTGGTCGTCGTCTTCGATGTTGGAGATGTATCTTTTCCAGCTTTCTCTATGTGCTTTTCTTGTGAGCTGTTTAGCCTTATTCCGTGTTTCTCTATATTCTGGGTTGTTTTGTTGGCCAGCATGGTAATATATGCCTATTTCTTCTCGTTAATTGCTTCCGGTATTTCTTTCATTCAAAATTTTCACGCCTCTTTTTTTTAGTTTTTCTTCCTTTTTCCTAAGACTTCGTTTGCGGCGCTATGGATTATCGTTTTCAAGTTTTTCCAGACAGCTTTGATTTCATCTGCCATTACTATTGATTGGAAGTAGTTAACTAATCTTCTTTAATATAAATGTTTAATGCCATCATCTTGTAATAGATATGTTTTATATGTTTCTTCTGTTTTTTTGCTTGTTCCTATCTTTGACCCATCCACGTGGTATTGCGATTTTAGCTTTTAACGAATAATGGTCTGTTCAAAT